TTTTCATGCATTAGTTTCATATTAGAAATAAGGGATGAGTAAATCTTATATCATCAGGTTTGACCTCATTTCAAAGATAGACGGATTTACGGCAAAATCACAAAAACAACTACTGATATTTAATCTGTCCTCTATTTAATCATTCAAGGGTAGGTTTTTGTAATCCTCACTTTTGATAATATCATTTGATAATCGGATAAAAAAAACTCCATTTTCTCTTGGATAGTGGGAAGTTGCTGTGCTGACTTCTGAGATAATTCAATCAAGAAATTTTTTGATTGTTTCATTTGGTTCACCAACCTTTCAGTTCAAGAAATGTTTAATTTTACAAGAAAAGTAACAATGTTTTTTCTTTCTTTATTTATTTTTTTCTTTTTGTTGTTAGATTTGTTGTACCTCAGATTCATCATCAAGAGCAGTATAATTTGGGGGTGGTTGAAGGGAATTAGGTGTGTCCAATATTGCCTTTTCCCTCTTTCTGTTGGCTTCAATTAGGGCTTTTTGCAGCAGGGCTTTCACGTCGGAATTGAGCTCGCTAATGAACTTCAAAGGTGAAGGCCAAGTTAGCGGCTCTGGCGCCAGAGGGTTTAACAAAGCCGCACATAAATCGTGTTTATACTTGACTGCCACCATGTAAGGTATTCTCCTACAGTTTACATCAAAACATTTATTTAAATTTTCATTTTCATAACTAAACAAGTTAGTTTCGTCTATATCAGATTCGGGGACCAATAAGCAAAACGGGTTTAACTGCAAGATGGAGCATTTGAAAATTTAGTAGAACGTATCTATTTATTCAAACGGCAAGCCCAACTCAAATGGATGTACTTATTTTCTGTTGAATATAAGATCTCTTATCAGGGTCCATTAGAAAAAGTTCCGAACTAGTCTCAAAACTTTAATTGCATATGAAAAAACTAAAAATCCAGAGCAAATCAATATCAGCAAGTAAATCCAATGTTTCGAAATTCACACCACTCACCCGGAAGAATCTCTTTGGAGACGATCAGCACCCCAAGCAAGCAATTCACGGACACAGTCCAATGATCCTCCTCGAGCAGCAAGATGAAGAGGTGTACTACCTGGATAGCTGAAATAATAAAATCCTTTATTTTCTTTACATATTAACTACACTAAAAATGCTGGTTATGGTAAGACTTTTTTAGAACAAATTATACCTATATCCACCAGTAGAAGCACACACGAGCGCCCCAGAGCTCAACAAGATTCGAACACAATCGGGCCGTCTTTGACGAGCGGCCAAGTGCAGCGGTGTTGAACCACCTCCATCTCTTATATTTACAAATCTTGAAAATCCCCTTCAAATTTCATGTAAGAAAAAATGAACATAATTGTTTCTTTCTTCTTTATATACTGCACACACATAAATCAATACAAAAATCAAAGACGGTTACCAAGATTGAGCAACAGGGGTGGTATTGGCAGCAGAAAGGATCAACTGGAGGCAATCTGAGTGACCATGGTAGGCTGCATAATGCAAGCAGGTCCTCCCATTTAATGTATCAAACAACAAAATCTGAAAAAAAGGAAACAAAATGTAATTGAATGATCAATTGCAAAAATCAATCATCAGGTCATTCACAAATCACAAAATGTATACAAATTAGATCTGTTAACTGTAAAATCGAAATGCAGGCAGGACTCATGGAAAGTGATGAATCATACATTGGCTCCTGCTTGAATCAGCCTTTCCACACACAAAACCTTCCCATGCATAGCAGCTAACATCAATGGAGTCTAAGCCAAACAAAACCCAGAACCAGAAAATGCTCACATTTACAGTGATTCATCTTGATCGAAGTCGAAAAAAAAAAAAAAAGTTTAGAAATCAACTCACCTGCTTGTGCCGATTCAGGGTATCCGGATTACCAAAACGATCCAGAAGCATAGAAAGAACCTAACCAAAATTGAACAAATCCCAACACCACAAAACACACTCAGACAATCAGAAAACATGCTACAGAAAAAAATCAACCAGTCGGGCGGATCTCATTGAGCGCTCACCTCGATCCGCCCATTAGCGGCCGCAACGTGAAGCGCGGAGAGCTTCTGGTGGAGCGTTTTCACTGCCAGCAGATTCGGATCCTCGTCCGCCATTGCCTCGACGGTTTGAAGCTCTCCATTTTGAACTGCGGTGAACAGCTCGGTTTCCTCCTGCTCCCTGCAGCTCAGGCCCTGACCCATTTTCGGGAGGAAACGGCGCTCACTCGCCGCCGAACGGCGGAGGAGGTGCGGCGCGGCGGACTACGGAGGAGCCGAGGAGGTATAATGGGTGATTGGATTTGTTGGGGAAGAAAGGTAGTGGGAAATAATGAGTGATGGTGTTGGAGAGTTTGGGCTGCCCGCCAAGATTTTGGGCAGCGGGCCGTGCGCGTTAGGTGCACGTTCGGGCAGATTTTGGGATTTTCTTTTCGGTCAGTTTGGAAATAATCAAATAAATTGTTAGTTAGATAGATTTGTCTTATTGTTTGAATAAAAATATATATTTCTGTTGTTTATCAAAATATTATATTTTCTAATTAAATTATATATTTGTAAAAATTATAAAATTGTAATAATTATATACATTTATATTTTGAAATGTCGTATTATATTTGTACTTTTTTTAATAATAAAGGTGTATTCTTCAATTTTTACTAGTTTTTTTTTATTATATGCATGCATATAATTAACATTAAAATTAAAAGTTATATAATGATATTATTTTTTAAAAATTTTGAACCTTAATAAAAATAAACGGTACAAACTTATTTAACTCATTGCATCACAATTTTGATTTGAAAAAATATAATAGATATAGTAATTTTTATAATTTGGATGGATCATGACTATGACTGTAATCGTGTCGAGCCAAATTCGGACTTAGGGTGTTGAAGACTAGCTCGACTCCTTAACCAAACGAGTTTTAAATGAGCTCAAACTCGGCTCGTTAAAGCCTCGAGCTCGAGTCGAGCTGAGCCACGTTCGTTTAATTTTACAACACTAATCGTGACCAATTAATTAACTGGAAAATAATAATTTTACTATCATAACAATTGCTTATGCGATTTTAAGTGTTTTAACCATACCATTAAAACAATTAGTTTACTTAAAGAAAAAACAACCGCTTAACGAGATACAAAAGAATATAAATTATTTTAGAATAAATAACTTGAAGAATTTTTTTTAAAATATAATTTTGTATGCTTATGTAACTTTCATATATCTTTTAATGTAAAATAAAATCAATAAATTATAACAATAACTATTATGACTCATAATATAAAATGTAATGTAAAGGAAAACTAAAAAGAAAAAGGAAAATTGCATTAAAATAATGACGTATGCAACTAAAAATGAGAAGAAAGATGATCACAAATTCACAATCATGCATATATATCAAGGTATTAAATCCTATGAATAGCCCCCCATTCAAGAAAGATAATAAGGCTATATTTGGTAAAACTAGCTGATAAGCTAGCTGATAGCTGATAAGTTAGCTTATAGTTTATATGTAATTTTTGAGCTTATAGCTTATAGCTTATGACTTATAGATAAAAAGCTAGCTTATATGATAAAAGTGTTTGGTAAAATGAGCTGATAAGCTAGCTGTAATAAAAAATTGAAAAAACTACCTAAACAAGCTTATCAAATAAGCTCGAGCTTTTTAAATAAGCTCGTCCTACCAAACGGGACTATTTAAATACAAGAAGCTTATATGCTAACCAAATAAACTATAAATTAGCTTATTTGGTTTACCAAACATACCCTAACATTCCTGCATTTAATAAGTCAATATTCATTTAAATAACAAATTGTAGCTGTGACAGTATATTAATTAATAAATAATAATAAGTATATAATAAGATCAAATTATCTACTCACATGAACATATATGGCACGTGAAAATTGATACGGGACTTGTAATAATGGTCTGACGAATTATAATTGTCTTTTATATTATATTCCCAATAAAATTGTCTTTTTGAACATGACATTTTATAGTTTTAACAACATTCAATTTATTTAACGATCAAATTTGAAGGAAAAAATTCATGGGCTCTGATACTATGATACAAAAGAGACGAGACGAAATTGAGAAATTGATCATCTCAATCGGATGATCCGACTGATCTCTATAAACCGAAAATATATACACAAAATTAGGACTACATATAACCTAAAGCTAATACAATAAATAACCATTAAAATACACAAATGTACACAATAACAATTTACGTCAAATTTAAAAGAAATTGTAGGACAGTCAAGAGAAGGGAATAACCATTCATAATTCTCACCAAATACATGAGACAAATATATTAAGAAATATCAAGTAAATAAATAAAAGAGATAAAAGTAATTATCTATTAATTAATTTCAAATCATATACATAAAAAATACAAAGTACACAACTCGTCACAATAACCTTTGAGCCCATATATATATAATCTCTATATCCAAGTGATAGTCATAAATAATAATTATTTACCACAAAACATTTTCTACAATCCATACCACCTCATATTTTATATAATCCAAATTAATTATTCTTCAATTTAATTACCGAATGATCCCAATTAAAATATAAATTTCTCCCAAAGACATACAAATTATTGATAACGAGCCAAAAAAAAAAAAAAAACGAGCCAAAATTCGAGTTCGAATTTAAATATCAGACTTGCTTAACTTAGACTTCAATTAAATTTGGTCAACTTTTCACACTATGATTAAACTTAAAACTATTAAACAAAATTGCAGTGTAAACGAATCAAAACCCGGAAAAAGAATATTGTTTGTCCATTGATGCTGACGCGTATGCACGCCCACAGGCATATTTTCTATATTATCAAACAAAAGCTTATACAATTGTGCATTTGTCCCCTCCTTTGTCTAACTTTATTTAATCTATATTTTCAGTCAAAAGGATTATATATCTGGAAGATGCTACGGTCCCGTTACGGAATCATTCTGTCAGAGTTTTTAACCGTTGGATCAATTATCTGTGACGGTTACATGATAATCCAACGGTTACAAACCCTGACAAAATGATTCCGTAACGGGACCTTAGCATTTTCCTTATATATCTATATATCTTTTTCCCCGCCCCTTGTCAAAAGTTCATATTTCTCAAATTTACCCCCTAAATTTTGATTCCTTCACAAACAACCACATAGACAGATACCATATTTTCATTCGACCTCCAAAAAATACCGGAAAATTGTCGTGTAATAAACATGTTATCCCCGAGTGGACCATTTTGCGCTTGCACAAGGAGCCGATGATCGTGTTATAAACATGCGCAGCGGTATTAAAGCTTCCGTTTTTTTTTCTCCATCGAGATTACATTCAACTCACATACTGTTATCTCGAAACAAATGCACCATCGAAAACAAAACAAAAAAACACAACCCGACTAGAAAGGCTACGCTTTCTAGCTGACCTCACGAGAAGGCGATCGGGTGAATGGAAACGGAACCACAAAGGGGATATGGGCCTCAGTTGCCTCGTTGGGCAATTTATCAAATAAGGGGCATCATAAAAAAATTGAATGCTCTTCATATTTATTTACGTAATTAAGTCTTGAAACAGGAATTGTAGGAAAAGGCCCTTTTTTTTTATCCCGCCATCATTCGCCACGTCTGGGTTAAGTTTGTTAGAGCCCAATATGAATTTGGACAAACTATTGGGCTTTCACTAGTCCAATAAACGTAGTTTTAGTTGTATTTTCATCAAACCTCCTATTTATGAGATATTTTTTTTTTTCTCAAACGGATAAATTTTATTACTCAGAAACAAAACAACTGTTTTACAATCGGGCACTTCAACTGAAGCAAATACCAAAAGGGGGATGTGAATATACAATTCCATCCCCTACTTAACCAAAACCAAAACAAAATAACCAGCTACCCAAACTAGATAAAATATTTACAACCAAAATAAAGATCAAACCATTTACAACTCCACACTAACCACTGCATATACTGAGCCTGCCTTCTAATTGAGTGCAGCAATTCTTACATCCAAGACAAGAAGGGGCACTGACAATAGCAAGATTGACCTACCATACTTCTTATCTTGTATGCTCAATTCTGCATGGAATTCAAGGCTTGTGCATCTGCAAATTCCTGCCAGTCCTGACGTGCTTTATCTGCAATTTCTTTATCCTCCACCCATTGCTTCTTGAATATCCAAATATTGCGTGTCTTCCACAGCCACCAAAGGATGTAGGTTGATAATTCTATTCTGTCCTTCAAGCAGCTGCCTTTGTCAATCAAACAAATCTCTCTCCACCATAATTGAAATGAGTGTTCCATTCTCTTTAGCCCTTCCCATTGAACTCCAGCCAGTTTCCACACCCTTTGAGCTCTGCTGCAATTAAAGAAAATGTGTTCAAGGTCTTCATCCATTTCCCCACATACACTGCATATACTGTCTTCAAGCATTCCCCTTCTTCTGATCTGGTCTTTAGTAGCCAAGAACCTGTGCCAACATCTCCATAGAAACATCTTTATTTTATTCTTGACATTGAGACTCCATGTTTTCCTCCACATCTTTTTCATAATTTTAAGATTTTTACTGGAACATGGGATTCCAGTATTATTCTCTATCTTCTCTTCTAGCAGCTTGTATGCAGATTTAACTGTAAATTTGCCATTAGAATTAGGAACCCACACTGCTCTATCTTTAGACCCTCTTTTGGGAGAGGGGAGCTGCAGGATTTGTCTAGCATCATTAGGGTGAAATGTTTGCTCTATAAGTTCTCTGTCCCATCCCTCACCCTCTTCTTTCTGAAGCTCATTAACTGTTTTAAGGACTCCTCTATCTCTCTCAAACAGACACAAAGGTTTAAAGGAAGAGTTTTTAGGTAACCAAGGAGACTCCCAAATGGATATGAACCTACTTACTTAAATAAGGTCGTAATAAGAATATAGTGTAATTTTTTTTTTTTTAAATTTTCTCAAATAAATAAATAAATAAAATACAAAGTATACTTTAATAATCGGTGTAAAAATGTGAATGATACTAAAATTGTTGGACAGAGGCAAGAGTGTTATTCTATCCGAGCCAAGTTGAGCACTTCGTTTTTGAAGTCGTGCTTCTTTGACTAACGAGGTGGTTCTAATAGGCTCTTTTAATAAACAAGTCTACAGTACAAGAAAATGATGTCATTTTAACGGTAATTGTAATGGTTGTTTTAACTC